ATACCACATCTTCTTTATCCATTCATCTGTCAATGGACATCTTGGCTCTTTCCACAGTTTGGCTATTGTGGACATTGCTGCTATAAACATCGGGGTGCACATACCCTTTCGGATCCCTACTTTTGTATCTTTGGGGTAAATACCCAGTAGTGCAATTGCTGGATCATATGGTAGCCCAAGGAAGAAGGGTATTAAAGGGGCATCTCACATTACAGAAGACATCTGTAATTTTCATGCATTAAATGATACAAATGCATTAATGTAACCTACAGAAATACAGAAATCATTCTGAAAAACGATTACATGTAAATTTACAGGTTATCAGACACCATTTTCATTAGAGATACTAGTAATAACTAGAATAAAGTATACAATTATCTACATGGGCAGAATTTTATTTCTACTCTTACCTCCTTCTGTCTTCTCTCTGCAGCCTCTGCAAGCTTTGCTCTTTTCTCTTCCTAAAGAAAATGTGTAAAAAAAATATGTTTTAAAATAAAATGAAACATTATCATGGATAATTTATATCTTAGAGATAATATAACCAATTTACAAAAATATTTAGTACTTGTTCAAAATGTCCCACTAAGACTGCCACTATTTACAATGTTTATGAAATACCCAACTTCCTGAATTTCATTCTTCCAATCAATATATCTTCAAATAAGTACATAAGACACATATACATATTATATATGCATATATATATTCAGGTTGGCCTATAAACTAATTCATTTGCTTTTTTTAAAAAAAAGAGGGGCTTACAAGCTAGTCAGGGCAATAATAAAACAAATGACATTTAATAAGACAAGAAAGGAAATACGTGGTTTGAAGTAGCCTGGTATTTTCAGGAAATGTTCATCAATGAAGTGAGCTAATCTCATTTTGTAGGACAGGAAGCCCTGAAGGAAATTAGTAAGAGGTACTGCTCCATGTTGGGAAACAGTGGATATTACTTTTTATATCATGTACTATTATTAATAATTATAAATTCTTTAAATATATAAGACAGTAAATAGAATTCTCTTGGCAGCTGTGTTAATAGTTCCTTTGTTTTTCATACCACAATACATACATTCATTCATTCAATAGACAAATAGTTACTGAGCAACTATCATGCCTCAGGAACTTTTCTAGGTACTGAGGATGCAGCAGTGAAAAAACACAAACACTTCTACACAGATGGAACTTACATTCCAATGAGGGGACACAGGTAAATATAATCAAGTAAATACATGTCTGTTAAATAGTAGTAAGTGTTTTGAGAAAATATAAAGAAGAGTATGGTGGATAAGAAATGGAATGATGAGTGGCTGGTTTAGTTAGGGTGGCCCCCAATAAACTCCAAAGATAAAGTGACATTCAAGTAGTGCTCCATGTGTTTATCTGTGGGGAAGAGGGGGAGGGCTTAAAAAATGCTGGCATATTGGTATTTTCTCAACAGTCATAAAAACAAAATTAACAACATTTAAAAGCAACCGTAGCAAGAAAGACAAGGTAAACTTTCCCATATCGACTTCCAGGTCATTTTTAGTACCCATAATCAAATGGCTGAAGAGTTAATGTACTTCCCGAAACAACTCATTTCCTTCAACGAATTTTTAGATAGGAGAACAGAGGAATTTAGCTTTTCTGTTAGCAACAACCTGTAAGGACTATTAATGTAAAGATACTGTTGTAAATAGAAAGGTACAAAAGTATAAGTGAATTGTACCACAAACCACCTAAATGGGAATTCCAGCTACACAATGAATAATTTCTAGTATAAATATGTCCCAAATATTGCATGAGGCACATCTATTTTTAAAATGTATTCTTTTTTATCTAAAATTTATCGAAAAATTCTAATTTAAATACGTTAAAAATACTGGGCACCCTGTATTTTTATTTGCTGTATGAGGCAACGTTACAAATTGTACGCCCTTTACAAAGTAAAATCCGTATTGTTTTAAAAGAAGGAAGAACTCGAAAGAGAGAGAACTAGTAATGGGACATCACTGATTACTACAATATCCAATAAAGCACAGGAGTATAAGAGACTTATATTGAGCACCTTCTTTAAACAGTTGGTACAGACACAGGAAAACGCACATCTCCTAGAAGATTAAACACTCGAGCTGACGAAGAGAGGAATTCTTTTTGCACCCTGACTCCATCCACCGCATCGCCAAGAATGGCCCATACACCGCACCGTCCGCGTACGCCTGCGTCCTACGAACTCCCAATTTCGCCCAAGTCTGCGAAAGGTAAACGCCCTGGAGCCGCCTTTGGACGATTTTTTGTAACGGAAGTGCAGAGAGCGACACGGAGGCGTCGGCGACTCAGGTCCCAACGCCTGACCCAAGGTTCCTCGGAGCGCTTCCACACGTCTTCGCCACCAGACACCCACCGGCAAGCTCTCTAGCCCGCGCCCCCGCTTCTAACGGCCCGGCCCGGTGCCCACAGCTCGGGGCCTCCCGGAGCGCCCCTCCGGAGAACAGGTGCGCGCGGCGCGGGTCCGCCAACTCGGGAACCGGGGGACGTGGGGACGCGGCCTTACTCACCAGGTCCGGCGAGGGAGGCGCGGTCTCCCCAGGACAGGGAAAACAGAGCCCCATCAGGAGAGCGGCTGGGGGTCCCTTTTGGGGCCCGCCGCAGACCCGGCAGTGCGAACTGCGCGGTCAGACAGGCTTCCCAGGTTCGCCGCGCTCGCCCCGCCCCCACCCGGGACCGGCGCCTCGGCTCCGCCCCGCCCCTCTGCGGCAACGCCCCACCCCCGGCCCCGCCCTGTTCCAACCCTTTCCCGCGGCTCCGCCCCCCAACTCGTCACTCCGCCCCGCCCCTGCCTCTCGCCACCGCCCTCAAGAGGGGATTCCCCATCGCGCCCAGCCCAGCCCTGCCCTGCCAGGCGGGCGTACAAGGCCTCCGTGTGCGGAAAAGCCTGCTGCATTTGGGCAGGGAGAAGGGGAGAGAGAAATAGATACCACATTTTCTTTATTCATTTGTCAATGGACAGATTAAGTTGTTTCCATACGTTGCTATTGCAGTACTGCAATGAACATGAGGTTACAAATACCTCTTCATGATAATGCTCTGGCTTCCTTTTGTCCATTACCCAAAAATGGGATTCCTGGATCATATATACGGTAGTTTTAATTTTAATTTCTAAGGATCTCCATAATATTTTCCATGGTGGCTGTACCAGTTGACAATTCCAGCAACAGCGCACAGGGTTCCCTTTTCTCCACATCCTTGCCAGCAATTCTCTCTTTTGTCTTTTTGGAAATAGACATCATGGCAGGTGTGACTTGATACCTCATTGTGGTTTTGATTTGCATTTCCTTGATAATTGATGTTGAGCACCATTTCAGGGACCTGTTGGCTATTAGTATGTTGTTGAAAAAATGTCCACTTAGGTGCTCGCTTCGGCAGCACATATACTAAAAATGTCCATTTAGGTTCTTGGCCCATTTTTTTAATTGGGTCATTTGTTTTTTTGCTCTTGAGTTGTAGGATTTACTTGTGTTATTTTAGGTATTAACCCATTATCGGTTGTGTGATTTGCAAATATTTTCTCCCATTGCATACGTTGCCTTTTCGTTTTGTTTGTAGTTTTCTTTGCTGTGCAGAAGGTTTTTTAGTTTGATGTAGTCCCACTTGTTTTTGCTTTTGTTGCCTTTGCTGTTGGTGTCAAATCCAAAATATCACTAAGACCAGTGTCAAGGAGCTTACTGCTTATGTTTTCTTCTAGTTTTATGATTTCTGGCCTTATGTTCAAGTTTTTAATCCATTTGACTTGATTCTTGTGTACGGTGCTAAGAAGTCCATTTTTGTTCTTTTGCATGTGGCTGTGCAGTTTTCCAAACACCATTTACTGAAGAGACTAACCTTTCCCCATTGTGTATTCTAGGATCCTTTGTGACCTGACCATATGTATGTGGATTTATTTCTGGGCTTTCTGTTCTGCTCCATTGATCTTTATGTCTGTTTTTATGCCAAACTGTACTGCTTTGATTACAATAGCTTTGTAATATAGTTTGAAATCAGGAAATGTGATGATTCTATCCTTGTTCTTAAGATTGCTTTGGCAATTCAGGGTCTTTGTGGTTCCATACAAATTTTAAGATGTTTTTCTGTTTCTGTGAAAAATGACATTGGAATTTTGATAGGGATTGCATTGTATCTGTAGATTGCTTTTGGTAGTGTGGACATTTTAACAATATTAATTCTGATCTATGAACATGAGATATTTTCCCATCTATTTATTTCCCATATATTTCCCCATATATTCCCATTTCCCATAAACACTGATTGCTTTCTATCCCTATAGATTGATTATTTTCTAGAGTTCCAGATAAATGGAATATATGTGCTTTGTCTTTCCATTAAGATAAAGTTTTTAAAGTTCATTAGTGTTATTGTTTGTAAGTTCCTTCAATAATATTCCATTGTTGTAGATATACCTTATTTTATTTTATTTTAAATCCAGTGTAGTTAATATACAGTATTAGTTTCTATAGTGTACAATATAATGATTCAACAATTCTATACAATACTCAGTGCTCATCATATAAATAACTATACATTTTATTTTTGGTTTTTTTAAAGATTTTTTCATTTACTTTGGTGGGGGGAGCAGAGGGAGAGGAAGAGAGAGAATCCCAAGCAGACTCCATGCTGAGCATGGAGCCCAATGCAGGGCTGGATCCCACAACCCCAGAATCATGACCCAAGCCGAAACCAAGAGCCAATGCTGAACCAACTGAGCCACCCAGGCACCCTGATATACATTTTAAAAATCAGTTTTCCTATCCATGGACTTAATGGGCTGTTTGCACTTTCAGGCTGTTATGAACAAAGCTCTATATATTCGTGTACAATTCTTTGTGTGAACATGTTTATTTCTCTCCAGTGAACACATGAGTGGAATAACTGAGTCATATATATATTTCACATATATGGAAAACTGTCAGGGATTTTTTTTTTTTTTTTTTTTGTAAGTTAAGTGCTTATACCATTTCCATAGCAATGATGTAAGTAAGAGAGTACCAGTTGTTTCTTATCCTAACCAAAGTTGGTACGGTCAGCTTTTTAAGTTTTACTAATTCAAATAGGTGTGTAGTGGTATTTTCATTAATTAATTTCCCACATTTTCATGTACATCTTGGCTATTTGTATATCTTTTTAGAAATAGTTGAAATCTTTTGTCCACTTTATGGAATGTTTATGTTCTTTAATTAGTTCTAAAAGGTTTTTTTGTGTTTTTGTTTTTTGTTTCTGTGTGTGTGTGTGTGTGTGTGTGTGTGTGTGTGTGTGTGACCAAAGTACATATTATCACTTCAATCCTATGAATCCACTTAGAGTTACTTTATGGCCCAGCAGATGGTCTATTTTATTGTTTCATGGTATACTTTAAAGAATATGTGTTCTGTTTATATTGGGGTATTCTTTAAATATCAGTAAGATAATTGGCTGGTAATGTCATTTAAGTCTTCTATCTCTTTACTGATTTTCTCATCCATTTCTAAGAGAGGAATGTTTATATTTCAGTTATAATTGTGGATTTGTCTATTCTTTGAATTCTTTGGTTAACATATTTTGATGCATATGTTTATGATTATTATTTTGTGTGAACCTTTTATCATTATAAAATATTTAGCACCAGTAATATGACTTGTTCTGACAACCACTGTATGTTATTAATATAGCCATTTTAGTTTTCTTAAGATTTTTGTTTTCATTGTATATATTTAATTTTTAAACCTGTTAATATTTATATACAAAGTGTGTTTCTAATAGTTCATAGCTCTTTTTGCATTTTTAAAAATCCAGTTTAATAGTCTCTGCCTGTTGGGGGAAAATTCTCTATGGGTCTTTCATGTTTCTGTTTTCTAAGCAAAGGTTTTAATATTTTTTGTTTTAGACTATCTTTTCAAGGATGTTTGTGTAGTAAGCAAACTTGGAAGATATAGTCTCCTCTAGAGCAGATTTGTTTACTGTCTAGCATAATGGAGATAATGTCTCCTCCAGAGCAAAAGCTGGGTAGGTTTGCTAATAACCTCTTATGGAAGATTGGGACTTCCTTAGCTAGGATACAAACCCACTGTGTGCACAGCATCCACCTGGGCATATCTGCCCTGCCGTGGGGCTTGGGAGTCAAGGGAAACCAATGTAAACATGCACTTGAAGTAACAAAGGCCTTTGTTTTCTGCCAGCCTCTATGAAACTATGGTAGTCTAACCTGCTATCTTGTAAAAGTAAAATCTAAAATCCTTTACAATTCTTGCTACTTCCTTTTAGTTGGAGTGTTTAGACCATTTGCATTTAATGTAGCTATTGATCAGTTTGGGATTGATCATCTTGCCATTTATTTTTTTTTCAAATCTTTTCTTTTTTCTTCTTCTTTTTCTATCTTCTTTGGATGGATTTTTAGCATTCCATTTTTATCTCCACAAATAGCTATATCTCTTTGTGTGTGTTAGTTTCTCTAGTATTTACAATATGTATCCTTAACATCTGAGTCTCCCTTCAAACAATATACTTGTGTAAAATATAAGCTTTCAGTGAATTGTACTTCCATTAACCCTCTCCCACCCCTTGTTATTGTTGTCATACATTTTATCCCTGCATGTTATTAATACCAAAATACATTAGTTTTGCTTAAAACAGTCAATTATTTTTTAAGTTAAAAATTAGAATTCTCGGGCGCCTGGGTGGCTCAGTTGGTTAAGCGACTGCCTTCGGCTCAGGTCATGATCCTGGAGTCCAGGGATCAGGTCCCACATCAGGCTCCCTGCTCAGCAGGGAGTCTGCTTCTCCCTCTGACCCTCTTCCCTCTCATGCTCTCTCTCATTCTCTCTCTCTCAAATAAATAAAATCTTTAAAAAAAAATTAGAATTCTCTTATATTTACACATATATGTATCATTTCCAGAGCTCTTCATTGTTTCATGAAGATCCAAAAATTTATCTGAAAAATTTTTCTCCCACCTAAAGAACTTTTCCTGCAAGTCTGCTAAAGAAAATATTCTGCATTTTTGCTTTCAGTTTTGAAGGATCTTTTTGCTCCATATAAAACTTAAGTTGACTTTTTTTTCTTTAAAGATGTCATTCTGGTTTACTTCGTTTCTAATGCTGGTGTACCCCAGTCCCCCATGATGTTTCCTTTCTCTTTTCGATGTTTTTCAGCGGTTTGAGTATCAGGTACTTTGGTAAGGTTTGGTCTTTATCTTGCTTGTTGTTCATTAAAATTTCTGGATTTGTGGGATTCATTTTCATCAAATTTGGAAACATTTTGGGAATTTTTTTACTCCCATCCTCCTGCATTCAGACATTCCTAATATTTCATACATTAGACCACTTGATATTATCTCACAATTCAGCAAGGAGTTAATCATTTTCCTAGTTTTTTTCTCTTTGCCTCAGTTTGAACTATTTCTATTGCTATATCTAAATTTCAGTTATTTCTTTTTTTACATCAAATATACTGTTAATATCACTTG